CCTTTTAGATGGAGGCAGGGCAAGGGAGAGCCGTCTTTACCGACTGTACACTCCACCTCCCTCTACTCCCCCACTTGTCCAGATCTAGGCTAACATCAGATTTTAACCATAGGCCCTATCAAATAAATATTTTTTAAGCCTAGTCTTAAAAGTAGACAAAGTGTCTGCCTCATGTACTAAAGCTGGGAGTTGGTTCCACAAGAGAGGAGCCTGATAACTAAAAGATCTGCCTCCCATCCTATTTTTAGATACTTTAGGAACCACCAGTAAACCTGCAGTCTGAGAGTGAAGTGCTCGGTTAGAAACATATGGAACAATCAGGTCACAGATGTATGATGGAGCTTGATTATTAAGAGCTTTATATGTGAGGAGGATCTGAAAATATATTCTAAATTTAACAGGTAGCCAATGTAGGGAAGCTAAGACAGGAGATATGATCTCTCTTTTTAATTCTCATCAGAACTCTAGCTGCAGCATTTTGGACAAGCTGAAGACTTTTAACTACATTCTGTGGACTTCCTGAGAGTAATGAATTACAGTAATCCAGTCTTGAGGTTTTTCAGCATCACTCTCAGAATGTATGCTTCAAATCTTAGCAATATTTCAATGGTGGAAAAAGGAAATCCTACAAACCTGTTTAACGTTGGATTTGAATGACATGTCATGGTCAAAGATAACACCAAGGTTCTTTACTTTGTTCTCAGAGATTAATTTAATGCCATTCAGATCAGGTGATAGACTAAGCAATCCTTTTCTGAAGTTCCGGTCCAAATATGAGAACTTGAGAAGCCTGTAATCTACCTAACCGATTAGGTTAATCAGGGTTAATGGATAGATATAACTGAGTATCGTCAGCATAACAGTGGAAGTTTATCTCATGCTGTCTAATGATTTTACCAATTGGAAGCATATATACACTCACCTAAATGTTTATCAGGAGCACCTGTTCAACTTCTCCTAATGCAATTATCTAATCAACCAATCACATGGCAGTTGCTTCAATGCATTTAGGGGTGTGGTCCTGGTCAAGACAATCTCCTGAACTCCAACCTGAATGCCAGAATGGGAAAGAAAGGTGACTTAAGTTATTTTGAGTGTGGCAGTTGTTGGTGCCAAACGGGCCGTTCTGAGTATTTCACAATCTGTTCAGTTACTGGGATTTTAACCCACAACCATTTCTAGGGTTTAAAAAGAATGGTGTGAAAAGGGAAAATCATCCAGTATGTGGCAGTCCTGTGGGCCAGAATGCCTTGCTAATGCTAGAGGTCAGAGGAAAATGGGCTGACTGATTCAAGCTGATAGAAGAGCAACTTTGGCTGAAATAACCACTCGTTACAACAGAGTTATACAGCAAAGCATTTGTGAAGCCACAACAGGCACAACCTTGAGGCAGATGGGCTACAACAGCAGAAGACCCCACCGGGTACCACTCACCTCCACTACAAATAGGAAAAAGAGGCTACAATTTGCACCAGCTCACCAAAACTGGACAGTTGAAGACTGGAAAAATGTTTCCTGGTCTGATGAGTCTTGATTTCTGTTGAGACATTCAAATGGTAGAGTCAGAATTTGACGTAAACAGAATGAGAACATGGATCCATCATGCCTTGCTACCACTGTGCAGGGTAGTGGTGGTGGTGGTGTCATGGTGTGGAGGATGTTTTCTTGGCACACTTTAGGCCCCTTAGTGCCAACTGGGCGTGGTTTAAATGTCACAGGCTACCTGACCATTGTTTTTGACCATGTCCATCCCTTCATAACCACCATGTACCCATCCTCTGATGGCTACTTCTAGCAGGATAATGCACCATGTCTTAAAGCTCCAGTCATTTCAAACTGGTTTTTTGAACATGACAATGAGTTCACTGTACTACAACGGCCCCCCACAGTCACCAGATCTCAACCCAATAGAGCATCTTTGGGATGTGGTGGAACGGGAGCTTCGTGCCCTGGATATGCATCCCACACATCTCCATCAACTGCAAGATGCCATCCTATCAATATGGGCTAACATTTCTAAAGGATGCTTTCAGCACCTTGTTGAATTAATGCCACATAGAATTAAGGCAGTTCTAAAGGAGAAAGGGGGTCAAACACCGTATTCTTATGGTGTTCCTGATAATCCTTATACATAGAGAAGAAAATTGATCCAAGCACTGAACCCTGTGGTACTCCACAAGTAACCCTGGAGTATGAAGAAGATTTGTCATGTACATTTACAAAATGAAATCTGTCAGACAGGAAGGATTTAAACCAGCCTAGCGCTGTTCCTTTGATCCCTACAACATGTTCAAGTCTTTCTAAAAGAACATTGTGATCAACTGTGTCAAAGGCAGCACTGAGATCTAACAAGACTAGAACAGACACAAGATTCTTATCTGAGGCCATGAGAATATCATTTGTAACTTCCACTAATACAGTTTCAGTGTTGTGATACTCTCTAAAACCAGACTGAAATTCCTCAAACAGATTATTAGTGGTTAGATGCTCACTCTTTATTTTGCAGACATTTGCTGAAATCCATTAAATACATTTTTTCCTCATTAATGTACAGAAAGCACCCCATATTGGCAGAAAAACACAGAATGTTAGAAATTTCTGCAGATTTATTAAAGACAAACAGAAATATCACATGGTCCTAAGTATTCAGACCCTTTGCTCAGTATTTAGTAGTAATAGATGGGATTTATGGCTCTTTCATGGGAGCCGTTCATTAGTAAAGCCAGTAGAGCGGTGGGGTGGGGGGGTATTAAGAGCAACGTGTTCCTCTGGTGTCCGTGAGGGCACACGGTGTCGGGTAGTGTTACTCCTACGTCCGTCACAGCAGTGGGTGGAGTTTGAGCGGGTGCGCTTTACTGACTTTCTGGGAGGTTTGTTACCGGAAGACGATTCATACGTGAACGTCACATCACTACTGGGTGTGACCCACCCCCTATAACTGTTCTGTCTTGTGGAAGACAAGACAGAACAGAGCTCATATGTGTGCATCTGTGGGAAACACGCATAAGAAATAAAGAAAGAACAGCCTCCCATGCTCGCATGGATGGGCACGTTTTGCCTTCAGACTTCTCCGTCTCCTGAGGAGTGTTGCAAAGCCATTCCCCGCCAGGAGAAGAGGGCATAGCACTGTTCTGTGGCATCCTGTCATGGATCTGGTCCAAGGTAGTGCATTTACTATTGTTTTTTTTTTTTTTTGTTTAAAAGACTTTTTAACAAGCAAATTTGTCCCTTGTTCTTCTCCACCTCTTCATGTTCCCGCCACCTTTAAACCCATGTTTCCTGTCATTTCCGTTCATGAATAAAACACTTGCTGCACATCCTTTCACTCCTCCAGTCACGGGGCAATAATATTAATTTTTTTAAGTTTTCCCGTGAGGTATTCTTCAAGCTGCTCCGCGTCTGCCGCTAGATATCCTCGGCTCTCTTTATGTTTTTGAGGTTGCAATGGCGGCGCTGCAGACGACAGCCGCATCCTAACCAATCACAAGCTTGCGTTCTCCGTCTCAACGGACGGATGTTTAGAAAAGAGAGCTCGACTCCATCTGTCCTTGCGAGGACGGATAATGGCGTTGTGTGTGTCCATCCTAACTCAGACGGAGAAGTATAAATTAGGCTTAAGGCCAAACTGTTTTATCTTGGTGTCATCAGACCAGAGAATCTTATTTCTCACCATCAAGGTCCTTCAGATGTCTTTTAGCCAAAATGGCTTTCGTGTGTTTTGCACTGAGTAGAGGCTTCCGACGGAACACTCTGCCATAAAGCCCTGACTTTCATCCGTCTCCTGACTGCATCTCTGGGGCTCAGCCTGGTGTTCTTTGGGTTATTTTTACCTCTCTCACCAAGGCTCTTCTTCCCCAGTAACTCAGTTTGGCCGGACAGCCTGCTCTAGGAAGGGATCTGGTCATCTCAAACGTCTTTCCTTTAAGGATTATGGAGGCCACTGTGCTCTTAGGACACTTGAGTGCAACAGAGATTTTTTTTTTTGTAACCTTGGCCACATCTGTGTCTTGCTACAAGTGAAATTGGTCGTATATATTGTATTGTGTTGCTTTCTTAATCAAGTCCAATCAGTATAATCAAACACAACTGGGCTCCAATGAAGGGACTATCTCAAGGATGATCAGAAGAAATGGAAACCACCTGAATCACCCAAAGTATAGACGCAACACTTTAGTTTTTGCTCCCATTTTTCATGAGCTGAACTCAAACATCTATAAAAAATTTTCTACATCCACAAAAGACCCATGACTCTTAAATATTGTTCTGAAATCTGTTTACTTGTGTCTTAGAGAGCACTTTTCCTTTACCAACATAATACATCCCACCTCACAGGTGTGGCATACCAAGGGGCTGATTAGACAGCATGAATAATGTACACAGGCCCTGTCCACACGTAGCCGGGGATCTGCCAAAACGTAGATATTTTTCTACGTTTTGGCCTGTCATCCACACGAAAACTGAGTTTTTTCACACGAAAACGGATCTTTTTTAAAACTCCGGCCAAAGTGAAGATCTGCGTTTTCTCCGTTTTGGGTGTCTGCGTGTGGACGGACAAACCCGGAGTTTTAAGGTCCGCAACGTCACTTTCCGCGACAAAAAAAATGCTGACATCACGTGTGCGACCTGTGTTTACACTAGCCGACAACATGGATGCCCTCAGAGCTGCGCTCGCTTTATCAATTGTCCAAGCGCTTTTTGCTTGTTTGTTTTTGCAAGCGGAATTACTGCTGCTTGCGGAAGACCACAGACGAAGGAAGAGGTTAAGAACGGGGGAAGTACTGCCACCTACAGGTCTGGCATGTCCTTAACAACGTATTTATCCGGGTACGTGTGGACAGAGTTTTGTTTTAAAACGAGGTGGTGTGGATGCAAGTTTTTGGAGGGGTGAATATTCGTTTTTAAAAAACCTGGCTACGTGTGGACTAGGCCTTAGACTGCCCATAAAATGCCCGAGAGTGCTCCTGTGTGCCCATGGAATTGAGTTGTTCCTCCTGTCTTAGAATTACTGGATTCTTACAAGCAGTTGGAGGCTGATGAGCTGGAGAAGCTGACCCAGAGTCAAGAGAACATCGTCTCAGTCCTGGAGCTCTGTAGCAGGGTGAGGTTTGGTTTGGTTTGGGTGGGGTGGAGGAGGGGAGGGATATAAAGAAGTGTGTGTGTGTGTGTGTGTGTGTGTGTGTGTGTGTGTGTGTGTGTGTGTGTGTGTGTGTGTGTGTGTGTGTGTGTGTGTTTGTGTTTGTGTGTGTGTGTGTTATAGAACATGCTGCGGCTACGTCAGGTGGATACAATGACTGCTAGTGAGCTGAGGAACATGCAGGAGGTACTGTTCAACAAGGAGACCGAGGTAGTCCAGTCAGAGAGCACTGCCAAAGGACTCACAATAGGTCTGACACACACGTAATATCATAAAATGTTAGCCTCCAAATGTAGGCCGAGCGTAGCAGAAGCAGAATGATGCCAGGCTAATTTGACTTTGTTCTCCACCGCCCAGAGTCGCTGCGTCTGCACCAGGACCTGGAGAAGGTCCAGCAGCTGGAGGCGAAGATCAAAAGTGAGCTCAGCACCTTAAAGGAGCAGCTCAGCAACATGAAGTCTGAGCTGGACACCTTCAGAGACCTGAATACTCTGAGACACACAGCCGAGGAAAAGAGAAAGGTATCGACATCTGTGTTGCTGACACAAACAAGTTTTATTTTATCTGCTCACTGACTCAAGTCGTCTTTGGGACAGAGACTACTGGAGAGCCAGACATCTCTGGCGCAGCGTCGAGATTCATTCATGCAGCTGCTGGAGGAGATGAACCAGAAATATGAAGCTCAGAAGACCAAACTTCAAGAAAATGAGACTCATACTCAGGTTGGAGCCATCTAATTCCAAATTCCCAAATGTCAAAGTTAGAGAACAGAACCACCATGGATGTTTGTGTGTTTGTGTTTTAGCTGGCAAACCTGGAAAGGAAATGGCAGCATTTGGAGCAGAACAATTATGTCATGAAAGAGTGTATCCTTCAGAATCCACAATTCTACTTAGATGTTTTACTTGCAGTGCACATTCTTGTGTGAGAGAGGGAACCCTTTTCCAGTTTCAGAGCTTTAGGGATGTTGTTAGTAAATCTGAGTGAAGACTGGGGCAAATGAAAGCAGAACGCGGTGAATTCCTTTACTGCTGCATCAGTCATTGCATCCAAGACTCAGCAGTGTGAGTACGCCTCCATTACCAACAACGTCTACCAGCTGGTGGCAGAGTACAACAAGAGCCTGATGGATGCCTAGACTCATACCAATACCTGCCTAAGAATTTGTTTTCCTCTAAAATCACAACTTTGAGTTAACCCATAAACATTTGAGCATTTTTGTGCTACTGGAGAACACCTAAATCATTCTAAGGATGAGAGTTTGGCTGTTAAAGTAGACGACCTTTAGGGTAACTGTGAAGTTGGGACAGGATTTTCTTTTCCAGATGGTCTTTAACGAGCTCTTTGCTTCATCTCAGATCGGTTCTGGGTGTTTGCTTTACTGGATGCTGGTCCAGAGCAATCCAGCAGATCTCGTATGATGCTCCTGAACACCATTAAAACCTTCTGATTCTTCACATTTTTGAATGGTGTCAGAGTGGTTTATATTCATCTGATAACTTGTTAAATGACATCCAACAACCGTCCAGATTATTTAATAAACCAGACATCACACCTTTCTGAGTCGCGTAGAAAACTCTTGAACACACCAGGTCATGTTTCATCAGAGTTCATTCATTGTCTCATTTAACATCACTGTGTCATCATTCATAATCATTAGCCTTTCATCATCATTGATATAGTCACAAATAGATTTTTATTAAATATATATTTGTCTCTGAGTCTAATTATTATAAAGTGTTGTCTCCCTGGATTCACCAAAGTATCTAATGTTAAAGGTTCAGTAATATTGATAATCCATATTTTTATGGAATATTATGTTTTATTGAATTATATTGACAATTTTAGTAACCACCTACAAAGCATTATAAAATTATTATTGTTTTGGTCTCATAAAATTATTTATTTCAATCTACAGGTTGTTTGCTGTGTTCTCTACAATGAATGTTCTATCTAAAGTGGTTTAATAATTAATCATGAACGAACATAAAAGTTTATTATTTCATGACTTATTTCAAATCTTAAATGCACAAAATGAGTCTACTTGATGATTTAATAATGATTTATTATCAGTTACATTCACATGTTAATATTTAAGTATGTAATGTCCAGCAATGATCAGTTTTTAGGTACAGTTTAACCATTCAACATCTGGTCAAAGAGGAGACACGAGACTGCACGTGTTCCCTTTAAATCAGCCTGCCTTCATCCCATCAGCTGGAGCTCAGAGCCTCTCTGCAGCTCTGAACACATAATAACAAAATGTCAATAATGTTTTCTCCTCAAGGTCCAAGCTTCCCTTATCGTCCTACAGGATTCTTCATGCCTTTGAATAAGGAACACACGCAGCCAAGATCAGTTGCCAAATCAAAGAATGATTTCCTAAATGAAATATGAACTTCTACACCTTATAAGCTAGATAATCATTAAACAAACGTTTGTTTATTACTACTTATAATTATTATAATATAATGAAATGTTTCATTAATCTGTGCTCAATGATTGAAGTTTTAAATGAATGTTATGTTATGATTACATTGATTGAAATACATCTCAGCATGTTTATATGGTCATCACCACTTGCACTCACACAAGGACAAAGTAAAGTTAAGTTAAACTCGTGACACATAAATAGTCCTTTACCCCAGATCAGAGCCTCCGGTATCAAGGAAGGTGTGTTTCTGAGTTTTCTTGGTAATAAATTCCTAAACTTGTCAACCTCTGGTTGGTTACACAAATCATAACATGAGAACATTAAAACTGGATCACTCTGGTGATTCAGCAGCTCAGCTCAGTCAGTTCTAGAGAAAGCTTCAGACCGGCCATCTGAAGCAAAAGTCTCTTTAACCCATCAAAGCTTTTGACACGTCATCAAATCTTTTTAAACCTGCAAAGCTGATACAGCGAACAGTTCCTGCAGAACAAACTGATATTGTTCAGACTCCTTAAGAGTCCCAGACGCGCGGTTCCATCTGTCTGTTGTGACCTGGAGACAACTCTAAGAGCAGTCTAGTAGTGCCGCAGTTTCCTCCACGGACCTCGGTGCCTGGAAGTCCGAGGACTTCGACACTCCGGATCTATAACGAGGATCTTCGAGTGGGTGTGTAGACACGACAGATAGCGTCTGATGTGTTTTTAATAATATCAACTTCATAGCTCAACACAAATTCTTTTACATCCAGAACTCAGCTCTCCTAGATACAGAAGTTCTGATAACATCGCATTCACACATAGGTTCATACGTCATATCTAGTTCCATCCATCACAGTAAATGTTAGTTAACTTGTCTTGTTTTAATTGTTGGTCAAATAAATTCTTACTTTTATAAACCTGACTGTCTTCTGAAGCAAAACGAAGTGTGTACAATCCCTTAATAAACAAAGAATCCTAGGATCTTCTGATAAACAGTAAAGACCGAGCAGGGTTGATATTCTATATTTAGATAGAGTATCACAGCTTATTGGTCATAAGTAGAGGTAATATATATATATATTTATGTTTATTTATTTGGCAGACGCTTTTATCCAAAGCGATGTACAATTTTTAACTTGTAGGGTATGTTGTGATCTGTGGGGGAAACCAGAGGAAACCCACGCATGCATGGGGAGAACACGCAACTCCACGCAGAAAGGCCACAGCCGAGTTTCGAACCTGCAACCTTCTTGCTGCGAAGCAACAGTGCTACCCACTGTGCCACCATGCAGCCCACAATATAATAATAATAATAATATATATATTGAGCTCTTAAAGCACTCAATTTCCCAAACCCTACAGTGCATTAACAAATGAATCTTTAACAGATTTATTTCACATTAAGTGGAACCAGCCTCTTCTGAGTGCTGGAGGAATGTGTGACATCTGAGGGTCTTGGTAAACGTGGATCTGGTTGGTCAAAGTTTATAAACACTTCTTAAAAATGAACTCACTTCCTATTTTTCCCAGGTCCACCAGCGCTCCAGGTTACAGACTAGCTCAGAGGTCAGGCTAAATGACCATAGTGTGGGGAATCAACCAGATTTTTCAGTCAAATAATTTTAGCGGCTTAAAAAAACATCCTTTTTTAGTCAGTCATTATTTGCTCAATCCACCACCCACTCATCAGAATACAGTCGGTAAAGACGGCTCTCCCTTGCCCTGCCTCCAACATGCCTCCATCTAAAAGGCTAGGTTATCCAGAGACAGATTGTAGGGATAAATTAATAAAATCTACAATGTATGGGCCAATTTGGTCAAACATCCTGATTAACAAGGTAGTAGGAATGAACTCAGCAGGGCACGAGGTTGGTTTCATGTGTTTCTGAATGAGGCACATGTCCTGGAAATCTACAGGAGTAAAGACAGACCATGATTAAGAGGGAGGGGGTTGGATGCAGTGGTGTGTCCAGATCTTTTAAAATGGGGTGGTCCAGGTGAGGCACAACTTTATGCATGGGTGGCACCAATGGTTATGCTTTTTTGTTTTACCCCCAAGCCTTTTGTGGACAATGAAAAGCCTATTTAAAGGTAAATTAGTGTGGTGGCACCTGGGGTTGCCAATAAGATTCCAAGGGTGGCATGTGCTACCCCAGGCCACTCCCTGGACACGCCCCTGGTTTGATGGGGGTGGGGGGTGAAAAACTTTCCCTGATTTTTATGATTTTATTCTAAAAGAATGCTAGAAAGTTGTTACAGTCAGACCTTGATTTTACTGGCATAAGAGGGGCGTGGGGTGAAACAGTCTGGTTTATGGTGTCAAACAGGACTTTAGAGTTACTTTTGTTTACAACAATCAGCTGAACAAAGTAAGTGGCCCTGGAAGTTTTCACCATCTCATTCAGAGATGTTATCAGTTCTTTAAAGTGCAGCCTGTGACTTTCTAATCTAGTTGTCTTCCAACGTCTCTCAGTTCTGCGGCATGTCCTGAGACTGTAAATATTTTGATTAATCCAGGGACTTTGTTTCTTGCTAGAAAAAGTAACCTGCTTAACAGGAGCTACTTTATCTAAAATACGGCAGCATTGTTTATCCGATGACTGGATGAACAAGCTTGGATCGTCACCCTGAACTGAGCTGCTGTCAAATAATCTAGAAAATCCGTCCACTGCTGACTGATTAATGACACTAATGTATGATTGATTTTTAGTCCCAAAGAGAAAACAAGACATACAGGGAGTGCAGAACTATTAGGCAAGTTGTACTTTTGAGGAATAATTTTATTATTGAACAACAACAATGTTCTCAATGAACCCAAAAACTCATTAATATCAAAGCTGAATGTTTTTGGAAGTAGTTTTTAGTTAGTTTGTTTGTAGTTTTATCTATTTTAGGGGGATATCTGTGTGTACAGGTGACTATTACTGTGCATAATTATTAGGCAACTTAACAAAAAAACAAATATATACCCATTTCAATTATGTATTTTTTACCAGTGAAACCAATATAACATCTCCACATTCCCAAATATACATTTCTGACATTCAAAAACAATACAAAAACAAGGAAAGGGAAAGGATCAACTACTTCAAGCACCTGCACCCAAATCTCCAGACCGGTTTCATGGTCAAGGACCTGTAGGACCTTTTCCGGGAGAAGATCAGCTCCCTGACAATTGGACAACCTTCTCGACACCTGGGACCCCGGTGTCTTCCTATTGAGAAGTTGAACTTTGCGCTTCATGTTCCGAACCACGTTACAATGCTCCGGACCTGAACTTCAAGGTACTCATCAACGTAAGACTGAAACCATCCAGACCAACGGAAGAGGACTCTGACTTTCTAACCTATTCTCCAACCAAGACTCTCAGTCCACGGACAAGCGCTTGATGAAGAACGCCTGGTTTGCCTCAGCTCTGCCGTAGTTAGAGCTGAGTAAATTAATATTACACCTTCATTTTTCCTCCTTCACAGAAAGATTTGTCTGCACCTTAGAGCTTTGATTTAAATTCACCTGATGTTTCAATACACCTAACTGATGTTTTCTGTGTATTATATGGTTTTGCAGACCCTTCCCAATCTCCTTACAGGAACTGCCATTAGTCGTAGAATTGTGCATCACAGGAAATTCGTTTCGATATGTATGGAATAGCTTTTTATGTCTATAATTGTGTTGATTTAGCTGATTCTATTTTCTATCTCTGTGAACTGCTGTAAGATATTATTGTCAGTTGTGTTTGCCTTATTTGTGTTTATTAATTTATTTGTACTCATTATTTTTTATTGGAATCATCTTTATTATTTTATTTGTTATTCTTTTTTGCTGTTTTTGTATTGAGCTTTGTATGGAATTATTCTTTGGACAAGTCAACAGGATTGAGATTACAATCTGCAATGGACATATGATTGCAGCACCTTATGCTGTGTTGACTTTTCGTGTTGATTCTGAACCTTTTACATCTGATCGTGGTGTTTGTTACTTAACTTATTATTTTTCTTGTTTTGATGCTTATCAATTTGGTTTTGGTTTTGTCTCGAGTTAATTGAT